ATGAAACCTAACCCCGAAACCCAAACCCCCAAAGCCAATCGACGCTCTGGAGGTAGGTCAGGGCACCTGGCCTCCGCTCCTGCCTCAGAGCCCGGAGCTGAGCTGCCTCTTGGGCCTCCTCCTGGTTCTTTCAAGGTTAAGGGTTTAGGGTTTGGGGTTTCGGGTTTAGGGAACTTTGGCTGGCTTTGTGTGGCTCTGAGTTCTCGACACTTTGGGGAAAGGGGCTGTAGGTTGGGATGTCCCCTTGTACTAACAGTCCTGAATAGGGGCTGTAGTACCCCCTGTTAAAATCCGTGGAACTTCCCAAGCTGTAGGACTTTTGGGGTTTAGCTCGCCTCAAGCTGGGAAGCATGCCGAGTTTGTAAAAAAAAAAAACAGTCCGAAGCAACGCAAGCTACTACTTCCTTAAGAGCTCCCCGAGAAATTAAAGAATAAGAGTCCCTATATTGCCCTAATAAGGAAGACAAACATATGATATATATATATATATATCTTTTTGGGGTGGCGCTTAAGGCAAATAGTAGCAACCCTCGCGCCTCTGACCGTTGCGTCCGTGCCCTGGGCTTCGAAGCAGCTGTGTTTCTGCGCTTCTGGGCTACCAAGCCCCTAACAACACTAAATGTTTTGGATTGGGGTCGCTTGAGGTGGCGTTCTTTTGTTCGCTGCAGGCACCTGCTTTTGGGGCGTTTTTTGTTGCCAAGTTCATCGTTTCTGTTGTTCTTTTGCACTACGGCCGTTTCCAGTTCCATGTAGAGAAGGAGTGCCTCACAGGCTCTTGGTTCCGGTCTCTACATGCGACTGCCATGTACAGCCCTCAACCACCACTCACCGAAAAAGTGGCTAGCCTGTCCTTGCACATGGCAGCACTGCGGACTCATTTAATTTGGTCCATGGTTCATGTTTCCAGTGCCATCAACCCTGAACAGATACCCACCAAGCCCTTGTTTCTAAGATTGGAACCATGGGCCCTGAGTATGGTCCCTTACCCTTGTTCAAAGGGGTTTAGAAGGATCCGAAGTATGGGCCCGTTTTATGGATCTTGCATATAAGGGATATACAACAGGGGCAACAGGGGACCCAAATTCAGGGCCCATACTTCTTATCCCCTGTTGTGACGAAACCCAAATACCATCCAGGCCACGACACTCCTCGACACTGACAACTCGGGGGTGCGCGCACGTTTGTTTTGTGATCTGGCGTCCATTAGCTCGAGCTCCTTAAAGCCTTACCCTGGAAAAGTGCGTGTGGTCTCGTTTTCCTTCTGGGGCGGCATTATGAGGTCATGGTCTGGGTCTTCAAGGTTCCCGGGTACCTGTGACTGGATGTTTCGCGGCGACTGTGATAGGCGTGAATGAAAGGTGGCTCGTAGCGTGCTCGTTGCTCTGGCCGATGATTGTGCTTCTCTTAACTCCAGCCCTACTTCTGAACAGGGTCTACCTTGTCGCCTCTACAGCACAGAAAGGAGAAAGACATACATTACTGGCATGGCTGGGAGTAGCTTTCTGGATGCGAATCTCGGCAATCTAAGAAATGAAGGGGTCAAGCTCTGAGGTTCACACGGAAAGATTCCGAACACTACGTCGTTGACTTCAACCGTCTGCAATCTGGAGACCACCGCTTCTTCAAATCCCAGGCTCCACAGGTGCCTTGTGTGTCGAAGCACTCGTAATTGCGCGTAGATTTCGCCTAGGTCCCCCCTAGGTGGTAGGCTTTGACCTGCAGAACCAGCTGAGGTGCTGTTCGTCGCGCAAGCATCTCGCCACGAAAACTAAACGTTAGGAATCGAAGTAACCTGTGTTTGTCGGCGGCCGATGCTGTAGCGACCAACAGCACTGCGTATGACTGAAGGTGAGACATTCAGGACTTGCCTAAAGCAAAGGCCGACGCCCTCAAACTCCTCCATCCAGGAGAAGTAATATAGGGGGCTGAAATAGTAGAATAGGGTTTCGGGTGTTTTTCTCGTATAATTACAAAGGGACCATAAGGGAATAGTATTCGAAATTATTCCGACCCCTGTACTAGTCACTGACCTGCACCCTTGGCTGATGGCAGGTCCCCGCCATAGTGGGAGGAGAAGCGGATCAGAGACATCACCAAACTGCAGAGCGACCAACACATGGCAAAGCAGATCCCAAAGCGAAGTGCTTGGAGACTGTCCTGGTGCATGTCCATTACTGCTGATCGAAGCGAGTCTTGCAGCCTCAGATGCCAGGGTCGAACAGGCACACGGCCCTCGCGCTGCATCAAGCGGATGGCTCTCAGGACATCGCTCTTCCCACGGCGGCCTGGTCTGTCTTTGTCCCGTCGCTTCTTGTGGCGGCGACGCCTGAGGCTTGCCTCATCTTCACCTTCCTCCTCCGACGCGTTCATGGCCTCGAGGGCCTCCTGTTCCGTGGAGGTCGGGAGCCTTTGCCTCTGCGAGAGAGGAGCCTCCTCGGGCTCCACGGGCTCTGCCGGTCCTGGTGACGAGCTCACAGCGCACCCAGCAGCGTTCACGGTTGTGGAGAGCATCGGCAGGGGTGGATGGCTCGCCAGGAAAGCTGCCACGGCTGCCTCATCATTCCGGGCAAGAGGAGGTGGCGGTGCGGGTGGTGGTGGAGGCGGCATGGCCTGGGCATGGTAGGCGCCATTGACCATTTGCTGAGGCCAGTCTTGCAGCATCATGTGCTCGTCCAAGTGTGTCATGTGCGCGGCAGGCATGTTGTCGGCCTGTAGCATGCAGCCGTCCTGCGGCATCAGCGCACCGCCCGCCATACCATCGGCAAAAGCCAGGCCATCAGCCTGAAGCATGCCGTCCCCCGGCAGATGGTGACCCGCCATGCCATCCAGGCACACGCCCTCCATCTCCAGCAGGTGCACGTGCGAGTTTGGAACCGGGTACACAGGATAGAAGGCCTCCTGTTGGTAGGCCTCTTCCGTCCACACAAGTGGGACCTCTGCCCACGGCATCGACCAGGCATCCTCACCTGCCCAAGTGCTCGTGGGCTGTGGGTCTTGCCTGCATGTCCAGCTGCTTGCAAACTCACCTTTGTCAACTGGGTGGTGAGGGGCTGCATCCCTGAATTCATGCCTCGTAACGCTCGAAGGTGTTGCCGCTGCTCGCAACTCACCTTCTGCAGGTCTTTTCCACCTCGCGTTTCGAGGCGCGGGGGCCTTTGTACTCGCTGGAACGGTGCTTGCCTCCGACGCCAGGGTCGCAACCGAGGACTTACGTTCCTCGAGCTCGGTGCTCGCATCCGATTTGGAATTTGCCGCTTGCGCTGTGTCAGCCTCGGCAGAAAGCTTCTCTTGACTTTCCGGCTCTGGCTGTGGGTCCTTGGCGTCGCCCTTCTCCTTCTCGCCCTTCTCCTTCTCGCTCTTCTCGCTGCGATTCTCGCTCTTCTCGCTCTTCTCGTCGCTCTTCGCCCACCCGAAGGCTTTGGGATTGGTGACCTTGCGGCTCTGGATGCCGATGGCACGCATCCGCCCCACATACTCGAGGAGCTCGTCGATCTCTGCCTTGACCCCCTGGTTCAGGGCCTCCTTGAGACCTGCCACCAGCAAGGCTTCATCCTGGCAGTTGGTGATCTCGTCGTAGGTCCTCTGGAGCTTTGCCTCCCAGTTGTGCATCTCGAACTTCTCCCGGTCAAAACTGCGGCAGACCATGTAGAAGGAAACATCCGCCTGGTGGACGTACTCGCTCTTAAACGGCCGCAGAGTGCTGAACAGCGACTTCAAAACGCTGAAGAGCCAATGCGTGAGGGCCGTGTACCACTCCTCCTCCTGCAGGTACTTGGCCAGAAGGCTCGGATGCACCCGTTCCCCACTCGGATGGACATCTGCACCGCCCACCCCGCGCCAGCCGAAGCGAAAGACGAAGCTTCCCGAGTGCCTGAGCTTCGAGAAGGCCAATAAGCACTCCTTGACCGTCAGCGCCCAGATGCCCAGAGTTCGGCTGCGAACTTTGGTGCCCCGGTACTTGGCGGCCTGATGCTGCGGCTTGAACATGTTGGACAAGTACTGTGCATCTGCCACGCAGATGTCGATGGAGTTGTCCATGCAGAGCAGCTCGCAGGCGTTCACTTGAAGGAGGTCCTCAAAATGTACACAGAGCCGCTGCGTCGAGATGACCATCTGGAAGCCGCCCAGCTGGGGTGGCAAAGAGACACCATAGCCCACACTCATGGGGCCCAGAATATGGTCCTGAAGCAAGCAGGCGCTGAAGCCCCCGGGGGCGCAACCCAGGTCCAAGAAGCGCGGACAGGGCGCCTCACCGCAAAGGGAAGCTGCTGCCACAGCACAGCCATGCAACTCCTCCACAAAGCCGACGAAGTCCCGGTGGTCGAACAGCTCCTGGAGCACGCCAAAAGACTTGTTGTAGTGGACCATGGTCTCGTGGAAGTCCGGGAGATAGGTGTCACCCTGGTCACCCTGGTAGTTCCGCTCTCGTTTTGACCTCGTGCCTTCAAGAGTGCGCCTCTGTCGCTGAAACTGCGCCTCCTGGCACATCTTCTGGCCCCTTTTGGGCCGGCGGCGCTGGTTGCTGTCCTGCATCATGGCAGGATCGGCAGGATCGGCGGCCATCCCGCGCTCGTTTGCCATCCCTCGCGCTTACATGGGCCCGTCTTCCTTCAGTGCCCTACACAAAGTCTCCAGGTGTTTGCACACTAGTGTCACTGCTTCGTTTCTGTGTACCCAAGGCAACAACAGCACACGTGAGCTGAGCGTACGTCAAGGCGCCCTACAATGTCTACTCAAATCGCCTCGCTCGAACCAGTTAGGAGTTAACGCACAAGTTGTTTGACCCTGTACTCTCAAAAGGCCGTCGCAAACCCACTGAGTCCAGGAGTGCAAGATTGCCGGCTCCCGAAAGCGCCTTTCCATCCTCCCTGAGTCCTCTCCGAAAAACAACACCCAAAACCCTCAGATGACCGAAGACAGAGCTGCTGCCCAACCAAACCTCTCAACCCCAATGCCCCGGCCCTGCCCCAAACCCTACGAACCGCGAAGCCCCTTTTTGTTCAATGCGCAGGCCACTGATCGGCGCCTCTGAGCACCGACACTGTTAAGAGTAGTTGTAAAGGAAAATCTAAGAACTCTTTAGGCATGCTCTGAATGGAAACTATTTCGGTTGGTGAATAAGACGTCTCCATTGATCGCTTTGTAAAGCAAGGGGGGAAAAGTCCTACACAGAGGAGCGTTGTCTAAAACTACTACTGTAGATCTGTATGAAAATTGCAGAACCCCACACCCCCAGAAAAAAACCCTGGACCCCAAACCCGACACTCCAGCTTGAACTGCACATACCCTAAAACATCCCCGCCCGCCCACTTGCGAAAAGCGTCGACTCGAGTCGTGAACGCAAGCCTTCCAGATGCCGGCGCCCCAGACGGAGCTCCTCCTTCAGGTCTGGGGTTCAGGGTTTTAGGGTTTCGGTTCTTCGACTCTCAGTTTTGGGCTTGAGGGTTTAGGGTTTAGGGCTTAGGGCTTAGGGTTTAGGGATTCCTGAATATGACCCTCTTAAACCCAATAAGGGAAGGGCTTTCGGGTTTTGAGGCTTTGGCTTGCTCCAGGTTCGGGGCTTGTGGTTTGCATGGTGGCATCTGGAAGCGCTTGCATGACTTGAAAATTCGGGGAGCCTGCTGCATGCTGGAAGACAGGAAGCTCACAGCCAGGGCTACCACAAACTTAGTCACACACGCCCCCCCACCCTTCCGCAAGAACCGTGAGCACCAAGCTGCACACCCAGCTACCCCAAACCCTGAAAGCTTTGCTGTCCTGTAGCTGGCGCTGGCCGATGGCTGTCTCCTCTTCTGCAGCGTCTGCCACCTGGCTTCTCTTGTTTGGTCGTCGGAGTCTGGGCATCAGGATGAGAATTGCCTGTGAACCTCTTTTGGGTGATTGAGCTTGCTGCCTTGTCCTGTCATCCAGGGCTTACGCGGAAGCACAGAAGGCGCACACCATGGGCAGCCCTAAACCCCAAACCCTCGGAAGCAAAACAAGAGCCTCGCGCTCGCGCAGGGCCCGCTGCCGCTCCCGGCGCTCCTCCTCGCCGAGCTCTGCGAGCCTCCGTGATGTTCTCAAGGTTCAGGATTCAGGGTGTTTCCAGGCGCAGGTCTGCAGCCAGAAAGGTATTAGGAGTCGTTTAAAATTCAAGGCGTTGCCTACCTGGAAGACCTTGCGGTCCACAAAGTTCGGGGTGAGGTCTAGAAGCTTTGCTTGTGTGATCCATGTACGAAAGCTCTACAGCCCCACAGGCAACTCTGCAAAAAAAAAACAGCTGGGACGCCTCTGAAGCTCCTGATGCACTTCCTCCGCCTGCCGAGAGGCCTCTGCCGCCTCAGGCGAACCGCAAACGTTAAGGGTTCAGGGTTTAGGGTTGAGAGTTGAAGGTTGCAAACCCTCTTCAGGCAGTCTGAATACAATGCATCGACCCATGGTTCAACGCGGTCGGTGGTTGATCCAAATTATGGGACCTTCTTGGCAGCCAAGAAAACTACAAGCCTTACTGCAAAAGAAGTCAGAGACCCAAACGGAGCTGTCAGATTTTGGATCTAAGCCAACCTTTAGCCTCTTGCCAGTCCTTGCTGGGAGTGAAGAGTTTTCCCGTTGCCATATTGGGGTTCTCGTAGGGTGCTGAACTTATCATTGCTTGCAACCTGACTTGAGGCAACCACCTCTTCAACCTCCAGTATGATTGCCGCTCCTAGCTGCAACCTGTGCACTAAGGTCTCTTTTTGGGATACCTGTTATAAAACGTGCCCTTTCACTTAGGGCACCCACGACGGGACGATAACCTGGCCATTTGGCACAAGCATCTCCGGTCTTCAAGCGCGCGATCTGCGCCGCAGCATAGGCCGCCTCCTGCTCGGCGCTCCACGCCGCGTCCTTGAGCTGCGCAGGAGTTCTTGGGCTGCTGCATGTCGACGCAGACATGTGTTCAGGGCAGCATGCGCTGTGATTAAGTAGGCCATCTGGGTTCCGGAAAAGCTGAACCCCATCACCAGATGCACTTCACGGCATTTCAGGTCTGGTCCTGGGGCTTCCAAAGTGGGAATCTACAGATTGAACTGCATTTGTCCTTCTTCTACTTGGCCTGGGCTGAAGCTCTGATGACCAACAGCAGCAAGACAAATCAATAAACAGGGTCAAGCTTCATGTTTCTTACGAAATAAGAAAAGCCCAAAAGATTAAAGTTCATCTATCGGCTAAGCACGTCTGGTTGTCAGTATCGCCAACAAGCAAGGGCTCAAATGCTTTGTCGGGGCGCCTGCGTGACGACCAATGCATTCCGCTGCTTCTGGTACTCCTCATCCTTGGAGGAAAGGAAAACAACCCAAGAACCGTACCAGTTCTCAATAGGGGCTAGTTAAGTACCTTATAGCCTCATACAAGCCTCTACAGAAACACGGGAAAGGGTTCTGCTTAGTTCCGTGCAAGTAGTCCAACAAGGCAACAGCAGCAAGATGGAGAAAGGATGGCGCTGTCGGCTCCTTGTATTTTACTCAGAGATGCAGCCTCCCACGTCCCCGAGCCAGACCAGAAGCCGCCAGACCCCTCAACCCCGAACCGAAGTCCCAAACCCTTTTACTGCAAGCCCCGAACTCGAACCCTAAGCCAAGTCTCAAACAAAAACGGGAAAAACAACAAACATCTGAGGAAAAATCACAAGCCTGCCCATGAAGCCTCAAAGCCCGAAACCTACGTCTTTCCGCAAGCTGCCAGCTGCCGCAGCTCGGCCGCACTGGCTTCGGGCGGCGCGCCCGCACCCGCCAGCACACGGCGCAGCGCCTGGCGACGGTCGAAGTTGAGCTGCGTGGGTCCGAGAAGGATAGTGTTATTATCGTTCGCCCGTATAATAGCACATTCTTATTAGGAACGAAGTGAATTACAATCATAAGGTTTGATAAGGTCCTCTCACCTTTTTGCACCTAAACAGCAAAGAGGTGCCCTCTCCGCGTAGGGTTTCGGGTTCAGGTTCTCAGGTTCAGGGTTTAGAGATTCTGCGCGCGCTCTCTGCAGGACTTCGGATTTAGGGTTTACGCTTCTCGGTTTAGGCCCTCTTCAAATTCATGCTCAGCATTAGTAAGGCTTGGCTTGGGGCTTGTGGTTCTGGAGGCTTCTACTCTCACACTCGCGGCAGGCAAGGCTTCGGTTGGAAACATTTGAGGTTCTGCCCCCCCCCCAAGGGTTCAAGGGTTGGGGTTTAGGTTTTGGGCCTTGGGGGTTCCTACTTCCGGCGACTGTTAAAGCACTTGTCTGCTGGAAAAAACTGCTCCTCTCTCACTCTCTCTCTCTCTCTTTCTTTCTTTCTTTCTTGGGGGCGTGGGGGCGAACCCCCTGGCTGTGCGCCTGCCCCGGTATTCGGGGTTCCTTAGTCGGTTGAGCTCGGGGGACAAGGTCGGGCGTGGCGCTTATTTCTGTGCTGCCCCAGTCCTTAAGGGTCCTTAGTTCCCCCCCCCCCCCCCCGCGCCATTCCCTTCCGCTTCTCTTCCCGACTGGCTTCAGCCAGCATGCAAACTGCCGGGGCCTTTCAGAATCTTTCGGAAACTAGGTCAGCAACTATAAACCCTCAGGGTCCCCTACATGGTTTCTTAGCCTCCGGAGTTCAGTGCAGTGAAACGAGTTAGCCTTCCGTGGTCTCAAACAGGCTGGCCCCCTGAACTCCCCAAAGCAGCCCCAAATCAACTCGAAGCCCTAACCTCAAAGATCCTGGAAGTGGAACCTGAACTTTCCCAGCCCCCACGACGGCTTCCTCACTCTACTTTGCTGTGCTATGGCCCCGTGCGAGGGTAGACTGGGCCCCCTCATATTGGAAACTCCTACTGCTAGTGCCTCCGTCTTTAGTCAACCCCCGCATGGGCTCGTCTACGCCTGTGCTCCTCTGCTACATTCAGCAGGTCAATGCCCCCGGGGGGCTCAGTACGTCTTCGCCGGTTTGCTTCATCTTCGTCCCCCGCTTCATCTTCTTCCCCCGCTTCTGTCGTGAGGTGCTTGTACTGGTAGCTTGACCCCCCACTCCTGGACCTTCTGGTGCGCTGGCCGAAAGCCAGCCTCCGGCGCTGCTTGGACCGCCTTCTATTCGCGGCAATCCCCATTTGGGCTTCCCACCTTCTCCTCATCGTCTGTGGCGGTGGGTAGCTACTAGGAGGTGGGGGTTGCCATGCTTGCGTCGGTGGTGTGAGTGGTGCGCCCCCGTCTGTCCCCTGCTCCGAGCTGGCTGCTCCCCCTGTTCCCCCTCCTGCTTCCAGTGCGACGATTGCCTCGATCTTCTCCCTGCCATTATCGCGATCTGGTAGTAGGTCTCGGTCTCGTTGGTTGGCTTCGCCCCCTGTTTCCGCAGCCCCCTCCCCTGCGTGGCCCCTCCTCGTCGTAGCTCCCGCCCGTTTTTGCATTTGCATACGCAGCTTCGGGTAAGGAAGCCTAGCGCGACACAATGTACAGAAAAGCACATGCCAAGAGCATGCGGCCAATCGTGATGGCAGGTGAGAAGTAAAATCCTCTGATGTACATGTTCGGTGAGGGATAGACCCCGCATCGAGATGCAAGCAGGTCAGAAAACGAGCAGTTGACCCGGTCCTTAAACCTCGCAGTCCATCAGATTAAAGCTGTACAGCCTACACATTGTTCAGAAATGTGGTGTGAAAAAGCAGATCAGGTGTGCTTCGCGAACTCATGTTGTAGCGGAAGTAAATGTAAGTACCTGCAGTTGTGGGAGGTGCCCTCGACCACATATGCTGGCATTGTCTGCATGATTACCCTCACATGCGTGTAAGGAAACACATGTAGCATTCATGGTGAATGTGGTGCAGAAGGTCATCTGTGCAGCTTTTTGCTGGTTGGCCGTCGTCGGTAAACCAGGTGTTGGTGCTCAGCGGTGCATCACTTAAGAAGGCCCGGTAGTGACCACATTTGGTGTCGCGCCCTGCATGAGTGATACCTGCAAGGATTCGGTACGGCATCCATTGCACCGTGGTACCATCTCTGCAAAATACAGGTACATATGTGATGTTCCCTGGATCAATGCGAACACAGACCCTGTTTTTGCGAATCCTTCCGGCCTGCTCAACATATCTCGGCAAGTGTATGCATAACCAAAGAGGCGCCTGCACCAGGGCATGTATGAAGGGCTGTCTACACCAAGCTGCAAGACAGGAATCCAGGTCCGTTGTTCGTTGTGGCAAAGGAACAGTTATTCCTGCAGAGAGTGTGCCCTGAAGCTCTCGGATGTATCTTCCGGGGCCCTCAATTGCCGTCCTCGCCTCCCAAACTCCTTCGAAGACAGGCGCTCTGGCAAAATCCTGGAGATATATCCAGAATTCATGAGCATCGTTTTGTTGGTGTAGTTGGGGCCATGTCAAGAGTATGTGGCGCCATGCAAGCATGCCGGCTATATATGGTGATGTGCTATTTGATGCCAGGATACGTTGAAAAGCTGCGGAAGCTCGTCCAAAGAGTGTACTCGATTCACCTTGAGTTTTCGCCGCAAGCCACAACCATGCACTGACAACGGAATTCAGATAACAAAGGTTGGTGGGATTACGCAACGCCAAGGTAGTGACCACTTGAGATATCGGCTGAGGGTGTCCGCCAGCGGTGACATCTGGAGTCGCGGGTGATGAACACGTAGACCCACTAGCTGCAATGCCGCTACCCCTTGGATCCTGGCGAGAGACTGGTACAGTGTTTGTGCCCCAGGCTGCCTCAGCCCCACCTCCGCTACGAAGGTCAGTTGGTGTCCCGCCAGTTCCGCTGCCAGCCTTCTGGTCGCCTGAAATCTGTAGAGGGCTCCAGGCAGCATGCAACTCTGTTGGATGGTTTCGATCAACTTTTCCAACTCCTCTTGCGTGATGCCCTGTCCCTCGATCTTGTCCAGCTGCTCCGTCTCGGCATTCCAGCGTAGGAAGTTCCAGTGTCCCTCCGGTGTTAGCCATTGCTGCCGCACCACCACTGCTTTGAACGCCTCCGTGGTAGTCACCTTCTTGACGCGGTCGAGGAGCTCCGCACAGAGGCACTGCACCACCGTGACCCGCAAGGACATTGTTGGCTTGGTCTCGCTCTCCATTTTCTGCTTCCAGGCCTGGCTTATCTTGAACAACGCGGGCAGGATGTTTTCCTTCTCGCCTGGCCTGTTCTGGAACGTGAACAGTAAAACAGTGTCTTGGCCCAATCGCATCAACTGTTGCTCGTGCCTCAGAGACAGGCGGACCAGCTCCTTGACCATGTCCTTCTCCAGGTGATACGTGTCGTCCATGAGGCTTGAGGTCTCCCGAAAGAGAGACGTTTTCGGGTGCGGTGCTCCGCGTCCCCTTCCTCGTCCCTTTGTACTCTTCCGGCCCTGTCCTTTGTGGCTTTGTTGATGTGTCGGAGACGCCGATCTCTTTCCTGTTGACCTCGACGGTGTGGTCTCCGGAGTGCATGTGGTGCTGCTCAAGGACGGCAGCATTTCGCCGTACATGGTCTTGAGTTCGTCCATCGGTGTGGATTCCATCCTCAAGCAAGAGATGAACAGACGTATAATGCAGCAGGGCCGCGTTCAACACTGGCATGCAATATTGTGAATGTAATGTTGGCCTGTGCGTCGTAGCGTGGCACCAGCAGCAAGGTGTCGCAGCTTGATTGAGCAAAATGCTATTGTGAACATAATCAGGTCGGTGTTGCCAGAACCCTTCATGTGCAAAAGCGCAATGTTGCATGAACTCACGCACGTCTGCAGTGGGCACTTTGCATTGAACACACTGGTGTCGAGCTTGTTCACACCACGAGACGTCCTCCAGCACATGCATCCAGTTTGCGCTTAGGACCAGGGCTGATTCAAGCTCGGGTGTATGCGGAAAGAAGTCACTGCTCACTGGTGGATTTAACAGAGGCTCTTTTGCCGCCAATAATTGCATCTTACGCGCCTTCGATTGTCGGCGTTGGCGCTCTCTGGCAAGCCGTAGCACGTGTCGTCGGTGTTGCTGCGCGTCAAGAGGCCGCATAGTTTGTTCATCGTGCCATAAACGCATCAGCAAGCAAACCTGCCAAATAGTAGGGCATTTAGATGTGTGCGAGACCGCATTACGGACTTGCGCTCCACAGAAGCGACAAGGTGTCACAGCTTGCCTTCGAACCAGTGAGCAGTCCTGGTCAACCATAATGCCATAGTCTTGCCAGATAGTGGAGTGGCTGCCTCTATAATGCAACTTCAATTTCCATGGATGTGTCCACTGATCACAAATTGCACAATGCGACCTCAAGTGCATGCAAATGGACCTGAGCTGTACAATAGCAGGCCATCCATGTGTTCCCAGGAAAGTGCGCAGGTCTTCATGGTACGCTACAGGGTCCGCTCTGTTGGTCCTGTTCCAATCTCCCGCCTGTGTTTGTTCGAAGGTCGGGTGGCCCGGAGACGAGGTGTCCTCAATCTCACGTTGCGGGTCCTGGCATTTCAGCCAAAAAGTAGAACAGTGATTGTCCAAGATGTGACCTTGTAGCGCCTGCCATGTTTGGAATTCATGTTCACAGTGTCGACATGTGGGCATGTCATCTTTGCTGTGCAGAAAACGGTCAAAGTTGCGGAGGAGTGGTTCAAGGGGGATGCCGTGCGACTCGACATGGTGCTTCTTCAGCATTCTCATATCCACAAAGAACAGGAGGCATTGAGGACACATGAACTGAGCGGGCAAAACACCTTTGGATGTAGCGACAGGTTGCAGCCACATCCCGCCCTCTCCAGGGAGTAGTAGTGTACCCTGGTCTGGTGTGGCATCAGGTGTTTGTCGAATCTTGAAATTCTGCCAATGTCGAAT